CTGAGGCAGGAAGGATTTTTCCTGCAGGAAGAGGGGAAGAGATGGATTTTCCAGCCTGGATAATGAACTTGGAAAACTAATAAGGAATGGTTGGAAGGGGAAGAGAGGGAAGGAATGAAGGGGAAAATCTGTGGATATTCCAGGGCCTCAGTTAAAAGGGAAGGAATCTGGAAAGTTGGGAATGCCAGAGAACTGGGAGGGGAGAAAATAAACCTGGAACATCTGGAATGCCAGAGAAGTGGGAGGGGAGAAAATAAACCTGGAACATCTGGAATTCCAGAGAAGTGGGAGGGGAAAAAATAAACCTGGGAAGTCTGGATGGGAATTGGGAAGAAAACAAAGCTGGAAAGTCTGGAAGAAAATTGGGAGGTGAGAAAATAAACCTGGAATGTCTGGAATTCCAGAGAACTGGGAGGGGAGAAAATAAACCTGGGAAGTGTGGATGGGAATTGGGAAGAAAACAAACATGGAAAGTCCGGAAGAAAACTGGGAGGTGAGAAAATAAACCTGGAAAGTCTGGAATTTCTGGAGAATTGGGAAGTAAGAAAATAAACCTGGGAAGTCTGGAATTGCAGAGAACTTGGAGGTGAGAAAATAAACCTGGAAATTCTGGAAGTGCAGAGAAGTGGGAGGGGAGAAAACCAACCTGGAACATCTGTAAGAATATTGGGAAGTAAGAAAATAAACCTGGAACATCTGGAATTCCAGAGAATTGGGAGGTGAGAAAATAAACCTGGGAAGTCTGGAATTTCTGGAGATTTGGGAAGTAAGAAAAGAAACTTGAAAAGTCTGGAATTCCAGAGAATTGGGTGGGGAGAAAATAAACCTGGAAAGTTGGGAATGCCAGAGAAGTGGGAGGGGAGAAAATAAACCTGGAATGTCTGGAAGTTCTGGAGAACTGGGAGGTGAGAATATAAACCTGGGAAGTCTGGATGGGAATTGGAAGGCAGGAAAATAAACCTGGAAAATCTGGAATTCCAGGGAACTGTGAGGTGAGAAAATAAAGCTGGGAAGTGTGGAATTTCTGGAGAATTGGGAGGGGAGAAAATAAACCTGGAAAGTTGGGAATGCCAGAGAAGTGGGAGGGGAGAAAATAAACCTGGAATGTCTGGAATTTCTGGAGAATTGGGAGGTGAGAATATAAACCTGGGAAGTCTGGATGGGAATTGGAAGGCAGGAAAATAAACCTGGAAAATTTGGAATTGCAGAGGATTGGGAAGTGAGAAAATAAACCTGGGAAGTCTGGATGGGAATTGGGAAGAAAACAAACATGGAAAGTCTGGAAGAAAACTGGGAGGTGAGAAAATAAGCCTGGAAAGTCTGGAATTTTTGGGAAGTAAGAAAATAAATCTGAAAAGTCTGGAATTCCAGAGAACTTGGAGGTGAGAAAATAAACCTGAAATGTCTGGATGGGAATTGGAAGGTAGGAAAACAAACCTGTAAATTCTGGAATTGCAGAGGATTGGGAGGTGAGAAAATAAACCTGGAAACTTGGGAATGACAGAGAACTGGGAGGGGAGAAAATAAACCTGGATTGTCTGGAATTTCTGGAGAATTGGGAAGTAAGA